GTAAAAGGAATCCTTTACGGAAGGATGAGTGTGTGAAAAGATGACTTACCAGATCTGGAGACAAGCCCAGTCCTCTCAGCTCTCTGACGCTGTTCTGTGTTGGTTTGGTCTTTTGCTCTCCTGTTGCATTGGGCTGGACACAACAATAGAGACGCTGCATAAATTAAGTTCACTGTATATATATATCCTAGCTGTACACCTGGAACATATGACATGTAGACAAGCTGAGAGCTCTGTGATACTGTTGCCTATCACAAAACATTTAAAGCAGCCATGTCAAATTTTACTGAATTTCACTGCCTGTCCTAAATCCATTCCACTAAGAGAGAGAGAGAGAGCAAGGTAGACTGTGAATGCAGAGAGCGTGCAGCATGAGCAAGAACACAGCTTAAAATCAGAGAATTAAAACAGTTTTCTAAATGTTTCTGATCGCTTACATGCTATAAACGTGGCCTGAAGATGTCGTTCTCTTACCTGTGGTATCAGACTGACGTGAATGTTACAGAAGTTCTCTCTCTTCACTTTAAACTGGAATTGCCTGAAGGCCTCAATGAAAGGCATACTCTCTATGTCTCCGACAGTGCCTCCTAACTGCAAACACACACAAATATTGCCAGTGCCAGCAACCTCTGCTTCAGCAGAGCCTTGAACAGTGTGGCATAAAATCTGAACTGTTTGCTGGTGCTAATTATGATATGATAAAATGCACTGCAGAGATTACCTCAATCACGCAGACCCGAGGTTCTACACCATCATCATCAACTGGCACTCTAGCCTGTTTCACAACCCATTCCTGGATGGCATCTGTGATGTGTGGCACCACTGCAATGAAAGAAAGAAAAACATGAGTGTGAGTGTATGTGATTAGTTAACCAATCTGTGGAATTGAAACAGCAGCTGTTTACCCTGCACTGTCTTGCCCAGGTAGTCTCCCCTCCTCTCCTTGTTGATGACTGACTGATATATCTTGCCAGTGGTCAGGTTGTTGTCCTTCGTCAGCCGGATGTCAAGGAAGCGTTCGTAGTTCCCCAGATCCAAGTCCACCTCGCCGCCGTCATCCAGCACGAACACTTCACCTAGACAGAGTGAACAATGCACAATCACTCCGCATACAAAACATGTGGTTTAATTAAGAATGTGTTCAATAAGATCCTGTCCCGACATACCATGCTCATAGGGTGAAAATGTGCCTGCATCTATGTTGATGTAAGGGTCGATCTTGATGGCAGTAACATGTAAACCGCATGACTTCAGGATTGTGCCCACGCTGCTTGCGATGATGCCTTTGCCGATGCCAGAGATGACTCCTCCGGTAACCAGGATGTACTTCATCATTGTGCTCTGGTATCTGGAGAAAGACAGGTGATTCGAATCAAAGGGTAGACCATGCAAAGCAGTTCACTCAGAGGATAAAAACCAACACTGACACTGCATTGTGCTTTGGGAACATGTCAGAAGTCTTCACTGTATTTGATAAATAAATAAATAAATAAATGAACAAATGAATCTAAACTACATATGTTCAAAGAATGCAAAACAGAAAAGATCAAGAGTTACAGTGACCACTGCAGTGCAACACTGAAGTAGTAATGGAAGGTGGCATATGTGTTGTTAGACCCCTTTGACTGATTTATCTGCTGTGCCCCAGTAAAGTCACATGTTCAAGTTTTAACAAAGTCCTATATTTAGCAGTGGAGTAATTTAGATTGATAACAATTGGGCAACAAATTGGTTTGTTGTTCTAATCCAGAATGTCAAAGCAAAATACAAGCTGAGGCACAGCGGTCAGGGTTGTACGTCTCGGTGCGCACATATCTACATCATGCACGTTGTAGCTGGTGCACTGCAGTGCACATGCAGCAATCCCTATATTGCACACAAATCAAAAGAAAGGCATGGACTGGTTTAAACTATTTATGTAGGAAATGATTTGTTGAGAAAAATAATCCTCATGGAAGCTTTCCACAGTTAGTGCAAATGGTAAACAGCAGCAAGCAATGAAGGTGCCTTTTCTTTCTTCAAGTAACGTTATAATTTCAAATAATACCAAAATGCTACCAATAGTAACATTACTGAGAACACAGATGAAAACAACACTGCTAATGCTGAAGTCGAAGTAGTTCCAACAGAAAATGTGACCAACAACACCATAACAGAGCCAGTCACTGCAAGAACGAGCAGCAGCGGAGGCTCTGGGAATCAGCAGGCTGCTGCTTCTACCAGTGGTGGAACTACTGGGCTCAGTGGAGCTGGAGATGAGGAGCACTTTCAAGTCCTCATTTGGAAACCACAAAAGCATCAAATCATACTGTAAGTTAGATAATTTTGTTTGGTTGTGACCAGCTAAATGTTGTGAATAAAAATGTGGATCATAACCATTATCACGTTTATGCCGTTAACACAAACCTAACCGAATTAAGCTTTTAGAAAACATCCAAACATGTAGCATGTGAAAAACTCAAATTTTTACTGTGCTTTCATTTTTTTGTATGGCAGTTAGGGTTGGGTATCATTTCGGTTAATATGCAGAGAAAGTAGAGTATAGCAGCTGTGGATCTTCATAACTTGGATAGTAAATGGTGTTATCTGTGCACATTTAAACTCAAAGACAAACTGAGCTCATGTTGCTCTCTGGTGATGTTGCCTAAGACCACAGGTCAGAAGAAAAACGTTTGGTATTCACAACATACATGTTATGATTACATTAAAGTGCAGATGCTTGTAGAATGGTTAGAGAAATATACAGAGATCGTATAGTAACTGTGCACCTTTATTATAATTTTGATAGTAAATATCTGTGCACATTTAGACTCAAAGACAAACTGAGCTCATGTTGCTCTCTGGTGATGTTGCCTAAGATCACAGGTCAGAAGAATCATGGATGTATTAAGGAGAAAACAAGGAAAGGACGTTTAATTTCTCTTCATTACTCTTAACTGGTGCAATAATTCTTCTGGTACCATGACAAAAGGACCAGCATCATGTCAACACCACATGTAAGGTTTTATAGCCTCTGAGTTTTCTTCCAGCTTATAGACAGAGCCAAACATTCCATCCTTCTGCTTAACCATTAAAACTAAAGGAAACCTTATTGTAGCACAACTAGCTTGACTGAAACACACTGAGCTAAAAACAGAACAGAGATGTAACAAACGTAAGGCACAGAGGTTCACCAATAAACAGTTTGCTGATGTTACCAAGCTGCGTTAAAGAGCAAATAACCTTAAATTCTACAGCATAGTATGCCAACTTTGATGAGCAGCTTTATTAAGCTCTGTTCGCCTTAATACATCCATAAACACACCTACATTAGTGACTGAACATGAAATGTCATTTACAGAGATCCTTCCTCAGATCATTATGTTTTCATTTACTGCTGTTTTGCCATATTTTTTGTTTGTTATGTTTGGAGAAATCTTGTGTTTTGCTGTTCTGTTTTGAAATGTCTATATTTTCTGTTCTGTTGAGTCAGTGAAATGTTTTCTGTTTTGCACCTCAGAGCCACGTATAATTTGCTATTTAGCAAAGTACCACAATAGCTAAACCTCCATGTTGTTTTTAATACAACGTGGAACTCAACAGTTGATGCCAAACAAACCAACCAATAAACGTGTAACACCTGAAAGTACTGGCTAATTAACGCCACAGTGGTTACAATCTGAACAACTATCTGTAAAGTTAAATGCTAAAACGTTTCCATCCTGCCGACATCCAAACAGCTTCATTGTACATAACGGGGCGCACTTGGTTCTCGATTACAGTACGGCCAGTGCGGACGGGAATTTCCAATTTTCGGTAGGAGACGAAACTAACAAGTGAGCGGACCGCCCGTCCAGAATGTCCCGGTAGGCAAAGTCAACAGAATCAAAGTAGCGCCGCCACTACAGTTAGCATTGTGCTAACTGTTAGGTATACGATAAAATTCTCTCCGAAAAAATACAACTATGGCCTCTTATATGATACGCGTGCAAAACCGACCGTTTTAAAGTCTGCTGAACTACTACTTGTTAAGTTCCTACTTTTACAAAATACAATTTAACTAACCCACGCTGCATCAAGCTAGTGACCAGACTGACCACGTGACCAGAAAACGAGCCAAAAAGTAAAAGCGGAGGTAGTGATTTATTAACATTTGTATGAAAACCACAGCAACATATATATATATACAAAAAACTGCGACAGCTATAGCAATATTATTTATAATATAATTCTGCATCACGAAGACTACTGTTGAAACGAATCACATCCCAGCGCATGGTTTTTCAGTAGAACTTTTATTTTTTTGACTGGAAGTCGTACGTAGGCCTAGCGTTAGTGTTTAGCTTGTAACTTAAGTCTGCTAGCTACCCAACAGCTCCTCACATGTAACAGAATCAAATTTCAACTCACCGAAATATTCTTCGGCCAGCGGTAGGCTTCCAAGCAAATTGTCAACGACAGAGATCTTTTGTAAGAGCCCAAATATCAATCCGAACAGCAACGTCTTTGCTCATCACAAAGCCATGTATCCCCCCCAAATTGGCTCTACACGTGTACGGAGCACGATGCAGGGCTGCAGTACATCATTCATCCCACTTCCCACACTGCAACCTTCAGGTACGCCTCGGAAACTGCCGTGGCCCGTTTGGGGGTGTTGTTCACATGTAGGCTACAAGTTGTCACGAAACATTTTTTTTTTCATATTTTGTTGTTATCTCTTCGTGATACACATATTTATACAATTAAAGGGATATATAATGATTTTCATGATTCCTTTGATGAAGAGTGTATGTTTAATTTGGGGGTCATCATTAAACCACTTTATGTAACAGTCAGTAACCTATTTAATATCTAAAAACAACAACAATAATAATATCTACTAGGCTATTATTAATTGATGCTATATATTTGTAAGAATATAAATAAGGATTATAAACACTAAATACTTTAAAATGATAAAAACAAATGCATAGCATAGTAGCGCAAAAAAATTGTAGCCTAATAAGATTAGAATACAGAAGTACAAACAAGAGTGTAGAAATTTGGAGATGCTACAGTGAATAAAACATGGTTGTTTAATTAGGACTACAATATATTGTAGTATTTCAGGTGGAAGTGAAGATAATTTTATCTACTATATACACTATTGGGCAGTTTAATCTATAACAGTGCCTCATTTTATAAACATCCTAATCTGCTAAGTAACTCATGCAAATATAATAAAAGTGTAGTGAATGAGAAATTTTCTGTCAAAGCAGGACTTAGAAAATCTCATTCATGCTTTCTACTAGGGTAGACTTCTGTAATCTACTCCTGATTGGCCTCCCTAATAAGACCATTAGACAATTACAACTTATTTAAAATGCTGCTGCTAAAATACTGACAAACTCCAAGAAGAAAGAACACATTACATTAAACAAAAAACTGAAGGCCTTACTTGTCAACAATTCTCTGGATGGTCTGGGCCCAAACTATATCAGATACAGTATGTTAAGTACAAGCATGGTAGGTGTCTCAGCTCTGCACAGACTGGTCAAGTAGTGGTGTCCAGAGCTGGAACCAGCAGCCATTAGAAGCTATTTTGGCCCCAACTGGAGCTATTTGGAAAACTAAACTAAAGACTGTTCTGTTTCCACTGCTTTTAATTATTGTATCTAAATTCTATTTTGCACTTAATCTGCTTTATGCTGCTGCCAGAGTTTTAATGCTGCACTGTAACTGCTCTTTAAAGTTGGACCATGTTATGTGTGAGTGTGGTGTGGAACCTAGATGCAGACAGAGAATAGGGCCACGTTCACACTGCAGGCTGAAGTGGCTCAAATCCGATCTTTTTGCCCAAATGTGACCCATATCCGATGTCCTTATGACAGTGTGAACAGCACAAATCCGATTTTTTTCAAATCTGGCCCAGGCCACTTTCATATGTGGTCCTAAATCGGATACATATCCAATGTTTTGCAATGTGACTTCAGTCTGAACAGCCAGGTCACATTTCATGCGATTTTTATGTCATTGAAATGCGACAGATGTCACAATTTTGCGCTGGAGGAGGCGAGGCCATAAGCAATATTTGT